CACAGTATGAGAGTACGGAAGAACCTGAGAGGCCTGGGCGACAATGCGTGTTTTTATACCTGTGTACTCTCAGGTATATGGAAAGCCTGCATTTCAGGATGCGGAGGCTTTCCAATACTCAAGAAATTACTTCTTGCTTCAACAAAAGGAAACTGCGAACTTGGAATAATTGACGCACCTTTCCAAAGGCCTCGGGTCCCTTCCTCGGCAGCGATATTCTTGTACGCCTGCAGGGTCGAGCTGTACCTCACCGCTGATCGTCCGTTGCTACCAGCCTGCAGACGGACCTTGACGACATCGGTCGGCTGAGCAAAAAGCACCGCCATTGCGCCGGTTGTGATCCCGGCGGCGATTCGTACGGAAACGTTCTTCGATCCGCTCCTGTTATTACCTGTTGAGAGAAAAGTCCACGATGAAAACAGACCCGATTAGCCCGAGTTTATCTTTCTTTTTTCTTTTTATTCTTTTTTTTTCGAGATCGAAGTACGGTCTTTTCGATAGATCTTTAAGTCTCTTATTTTTTTTTTTTTCGTTCTTTCGATAATCGTACAATATACGTGGGATGCGGGATGGAACATAAGATCGCGCAGTGCGCGGTTAATCACGTTTTATTAGCTCATTGATTACCTTACCGATTACAATGAACGGTGTGTGCGTCTCGAGAGGACACACACACACACTTCGGGAGAGCACAATCGACATCGCGTAAAGTGAACGTGATCGAGATCCACGGGAAACGAGTCTGCTAATAGCGTTCTCGATCGTAACGATCGATTCTCGGATCTGATTCTTAGAAATCGAAAGGGTGCGCTCCCGTTCCCGTGGATCTCGCGTGCGTTCACGGAACCCGAGATAGAAGCGTCGTTCGCCGAGGTGGGATCACAATTGTGGAAACGTTCACAGAATGTTGGAGGACCGATGCGTTTCACGGCACGATGAGACTCGCGGCACGATTTCAAGGTTCCGCGTGCGATACTAGACCCGCGAACACGAACTCGTTAATGGCAACACCGGTTAGAGAGAGCCGTTTTAGTACGGGAAGACACGAGAGAACGAGCATGCTCGAATTTCTAAGGCACCGGAAATCGTGACAACCGTTGGTTAGGCGCACGAGATCGCGGCGGAGAGGGTGCCTCGCGCCTCGTCGAATCGATCGAATCCTGCGAGACTCGAAGAAAACGCGATTCTCCGCTGTTACCGATCTCCACGGGACTCGACCGAGGAAATAATACGAAATATCGTTCGACGGAGAAATATTTGACAAGCGAAAACATCGATTCTGAATCCGAGGGAATCCCCGGAAAAACGCGACTCCCGAGAGTCTCTTCGAAATCGGCTGCTTCGACGAATCGCGATCGATTTTGCTCACCCTCTCGCTGCCTTTCTATGTTCGGTCTGCGGAGACGTCTTCTCCGGAAGATGGAGGAAAGAAAAAGAGAAAAAAAAAGAAAAAAAAATAGTACAGAGAAATTAGGGGAACGCGAGCGTAGAACGAACACGGGTGTTCTCGGGGGAAGGGTTGTCTGGAGCTTCTTCTGGAGCCGAGAGATCGGTGGTTGGTTGGTGATCGGTGGGGACCACCAGCCGTTACTTACGCGTCCACGTAATAGGCTTATTCGTGTAACAGAGAGATGGACGTGTGTGGCCGTGTCGCACGCGTGTCTCTACTCGGTTCGATCGTAACAGGAGATTGCGTAATCAAAAAAAGTTAGGAGTTTGTTGGATGTACCGTCGATGATTCCAGCGTAGCGTGACTTCACACCGTCGTAGAGGCCCAACCGTATGCTGGCGAAACACATCTGTCTCTGGAGTCCCGCGGACAGACCTCCGTACAGGCTCCTGTAACCACCCTCGCTCAAGCTCACCGCCCTCACAATTTACCCTCATACGTATCCCAGGGTATATTTTTGTCTTATTTTGTTTTATTTTTTACTTTTTTACTTTTTTTTGTGAATCTTAGTTTCGACATTTCTCTCTCTCTCCCTCTCTTTTTATCTCTCTCTATGTATACCTCTTTCTCTAGTTCGCTCCCCATTCGAATGAATTTTCTACCGGGGCTCGATTGAACATCCTATCACTCTCTCACTATTTCTCACTCTGTCTCTCTCTCTCTCTCTTTCGCTTTTAATACGGTTTTCACATTCGAATGATGAGACTGAACACATGCGAGATTGGTCTTCCTGAGGAGAACGCATACGTGTTTGATCGATAGACTCGTGGATCTTCGCGCGGGCTCGACATCTTGCTGGTTTAACTCTTTGGGGCACGGTTAAAAATTAAAAATGTCCCATCTTTTCGGTGCACGGAAATGCGTGGTGGGACATTTTTAGACCTCGAAGTATTGCAATAGCTATTATTGTATTATATTATTATTATATAGCTATATTATTATTATATTATATTATTATTATTTTTTATGTTTTTATATTATGCGATTCCTTTATCAACACTAGATTTACGGAGCACAAAAAACAGCTGCTTTACATTAGTTTAATGAAAGTAACAATTTATTCTGATTTTTAACAAGTGTTTGCCGTAACGTTTGCATTAACTGATGTACAAATTGAATAAATAACTCATAAATATATATCTTTACGTTATGAATAATCGTAAATTAAAAATTTGGTGACCCATCATTTTGACGGGTTCCGTAAATCCAGTGTTATTAAAAATTCTGTTTAATTTGAAACGCAATGAATTCTGTGCAACATGGGTCTATTTTATCGCCTGAAATCCTGTGCCCCAAAGAGTCAACACGTTGAGCGCGGAGCCAATTTTACTGGGTTCTATTTTTGTAGCCGACATTATTTTTTAACCTTGACACTCTGCCGGCCCCATGCACCGATGCCATCCAAACGACTGGTTCGCTGTCAGTCCCTCGGAACTGACACCGTCCCAAAAAAGTACACTGTCGACCCAAAGGGTCTTAAACGGAAAGTCCACTGTCAGGCCCAGGGGTCTGACGCCGCGCTAAACGTGTTAACCCCTTGCCGTACCATTATCTTCGCGGTAACAATGATTGGAATTTTTCTTTATTTTAATTACTTCTTAGAAGTAATAGAAATAGAAAAAGAAATATAGATTGGAAAAAGATCAGATTAGAATTAGAAAAAGAAATATAATTTATATTTATCGCGTGTTCAGATATTTACATGAACGATTAAATATTGATGATGAGAGAACGGAATTTGATTTCGACTTAAAAGAATGGAATGGAACATTTACTCGTCGATGTACGGCGAGGGAGGAGATAATCCCGCATCATTCCGAGGCCAAGTAGAAATCGACTAGTTCGGTTTAACGCTTTGCCCGCCGATGAAAACGCGATTGTTAGTTAGCGAATGTTATTCGTAAGGCGTCTCGAGCGATTTGTACGCGCGGCCCGATCCGCAGTCTATCGATCAAGGGCGAAGAGAGTCGAATCGAGATTTCCGAAATCATCGGAGGAGCACGAGAGAAAGGAGAACGAATCGTTCGAGTTTGACCGGGAGAGAGCTTGCGACGAGAGAGCTGTTTTGCACGTACGCGCGACTATGGCAGACCGGAGACGTTATTTACGCACGCGGCGGAAGCGCAAACCAAGAAACGAGTCGCGTCGGTTCCGGTTCCGATGCGACCGGTTAATTGGAAAGAAATAAAGTGGGAGCTTGCAGCTGATCGAAGACAAAATAAATAGAGAAAAATAAGCAGAGATCAAGGAGAAACGAAAATCCGGATACGCGGAAGGTTTTTGCTGTCGCGACCTGCTTTTCCCTTGATTCCGTTGATTCACATTTCGGATCGTTACAGTCCCGAAGGAGATCGCGACGAGCAATCGGGAAAGGCAGCTCGCGAGCGAGAGAGAAAAGAAACGATAATGTACAGACGGAACGAGTGCCATAGACGTGTGATCGATCGAACAGCCATCGTCCACGTGGACGATAGGGTGTCGCGCGATGTTCCAGCGATGGGATTAAACGTATCGCGAACTAAAGTAACGCGAATCGATAGTATGCACTTCGGTCACAATAACTCGTTCTTTTTATCGAATTTAATCTTTCGAAGAATGTACGCGCGCGATCTTTATAATTAATATCCAAGCGATCGAGCGTTCTTTGTTCCGGTCGAGTACAGGTAGCGATTCTATAACACGGCATCGTATAACACGGTTTCGCTCTAATACGATACGATAAATTGTATAAAAGAATTATCGCATTATCGTAAAAATACGAGGGGAACCCTCGTATAGCACTGCAACCTGTAACACTGTTTTGCTCTAACTCGATAAGAAAATTGCGGAAGCCTTTGTACGGCGCTGTACTTCTGCAACACCGGATAACATGTTTTTTGTTTAACATATTTCAAAAGTAAATTACCTTAAAATAATGACGGGAAGGAATAACGAACTACAGTTCCTTCACATGAAAATATGATCGTTATAATTAAGCGTATATAAATATATACCCTTGAATATATAAATAAAAAAATATACTCTTAAATATATAAAGAAATCGAAAATTCAAAAGGGATCTGTCAAATCTGCTATCTTTATACCATGAAATCTACAATGACCAGCAAACGAACCAAAATTAGAAATTTTTTTAAAAGATAAAAGGTGCAAAATATCTGAATGAAGAAGAAGGTTCAGAAAGCGAAGGTGATATCGTTCAA